TAAACAAAATTTACCAAAGAATATAATCGATTATTATTAGTTTTTGGAGGGTCGACGTTGATTAGACGAAATTACTCACGGGCTTCTTAAAAACGTTTCATTTTTCCAAGAAATTAAAATCCTTGGAACACTAAAAGGTTTTTGTCAGCCACACAAATGATGCTAAAGAATCAATAACTGTGTGGATTGTTGTTTTTAACACAGCATGAGAGTAGAGAGAAAGAGAAAACAAGTGACGTATGCATGAGAGTGGTGGAGGAGAGAATCATCACCGCCGACCTCCGGCCTAAACCCTACGGCGTCGTTTTTCGAGTCTACGGCAAAGCTTGGGACCCACTTCTATGTTTTGGCATTTTCTCGTTCGGAATTTGTTAGAAAGAGGATCAAATACGGCGAGTGAAAATACGTCATAATTTGGTCGGATACGGTTATTTTTTATTTAAAAAAGTCAGACCGAATAAAAACGGGTTACAATTTAAACCGGGTTTAAATGTGTCGGATTAGTCCAACGTGCAAGAAATTTGTCAAATTTGAATGAAACATTAGTTAAGGTTACAAAACTACATCTGCTCGAATAAAAAGATTGCAGATGTATACATACATAAACAAACAGCTTTGAGTTTCACACTATTCACAACAAAACATATACTAATATAAAGAGAGTACCTTCTTTGATCAGTTTTTGGGGATGATATCAGAGAAAGCAAAGTCATGGAAAGGAGGACCTGCAAAAAAAATGACAACTTTAGATGTCTTTGAATTCCAACCACATTATCATCTATCTTGTTTGAATCAAGTATTGAGAACTCTTAACCTCCTTGTTCACTTAAAATGTGAAACGGAATGTGTGCAACCATTTTTTGCCCGCCCTCGCTCCAGTTAACTGTGCCTGGAAACCGTTTCTCTGAAACCCGTGAAGGTCCTAGCACAGACCAACAGATTCCTGGTTCGTTCATCAGTCCTAAGTAATCATGTGCTCGTTTCCAAACCCTTGCATCAGATATTCGAGACCGAACGACCTACAGACATTGTATATAATTGTGGAGTTCAGATTTTTTAAGTTTAGCGATCATTACAAAGTGCGTTAGTGGATTTAGATAGTTCCCGTGTACCTTTCCCAAGGCGACACGGGCTCTTGGTAATAATTCCCGGTGATATGTTGCGAGCTTCGCGATAGCGGTTACTACAAAACACAAAAGTCTTGATTGTGTTGTTCTTCTGGAACCATTCCCAGACTCTTGCCTCAGACCTAGGCGGCTTTTTTGTTGTTGTTGTTGGAAGCAAATAGCCAAAACGTGGTGTAAATATCATTCCTGTTTTCTGGCTGAGAAAGGCAGAACAAAGTATGTAACAAATGTTTAGTTTATAATACCTTGATGAGAGATTCTCATATAGAAGCAATTCCAAACTTTCAAAAAGCTCGCGAGCAGCATCCTTGTGTGATTCTCCACCACCACCATACTCTCCAATTGCCCAACATAGCTGTAAAGCTAGCTCTCTCTATGGAAGAAAATGTTTAGAGGAGATAATCTCACAAGCATCCGTGGAAATATTTGAAACTGACCTTAGCAGAGTCATCGTAAGCTTCTCCAAGCCGGTCAATTATAGGCTTCTGCATTATGCAGGAACTTCATATTAGATTTCATCGCATTACTACTTCAGAAAATATGCGGTTAATCATAAGACTTTGTAACCAATGAAGATAGTGTGATTTTGACTGGCATATCCACCAATGCCGTGTGAAATTATCCTTGTTCCAAATTCTAAATGTTATTATAGCACAAACCAAACAAGAAATAAAAGGAAACATTACTTTCAACAGTGCAATGAAATTTGGAGACCTCTGAAATGCAGCTAGCACGAATTCCAGTAGCCTCCTACGGATCTGTATACACATAACATATCTCTGTACTATAAGGTTCAATATGGCAGCACACTATAAGGTCAAAATAGCATTGGTATTTCTGATGAACAATTGAAAATCGATGGACGCTCAACTCAGAAACAGGGGAGTAAGCAACAAATATTGTCAATTAGCATGTCTAAATGGTTTTCTAATAAATTCTTTTTTCGAAAAGTACATATACACAATACAGAAGATGCGTGATACCTCATGAGAAAAATTCTTATCCAGAAACATTGTAGAGTTTCTAGTCATGAGTAGAGGGATTAATGCACAGATCAGAGCTGTAAGAAGATAAAGCATTAAAAGGGAAAGAAAAACAAGCATGAACGGGCACAATAGTGGTCAAAGGCCTAACTACGTAAATTTATCCACCTTTAGCAACTAAAGAAAACTAGGAAAGCTGTAAATTATCTTACAGTCATTTGCATCTCGCAACGTAACACTAAAGTAGACATCAAGAAGTCGGGGAGCAATCTTAAGTGTCTGCTTCATCCTCTCTGACCTAGGACCACTTGCAGCAGCCTGCAGTGCTGAATTCAATGCAGGTGAAGCGCGGTGTCTTTCCTGCAGCACAAAGTTGACTAAGAACTCAGTTTGTCTAAAAAAATTAGGTAGTAAAAAAACTGCCAACAGTCACATATCCCCCAAATTTTACTATTTTCAATATTTATATGGAACTGTTTTCTGTTGGGACTTCTGAATAAAACAAAAATCAGGGCAGGAGGGCGCATACAGCTAGACCATCATTTTCATCCTTGAGAAGCTCCAGAAACAGAGGATCAGCTACATCTATTGTATTATTATCTTCAGATTCAGAGTCATCCCCTCCATCCCCAATGGTTGAACCAGTATAGGCTTCATCCATAAGGGCAAGAAGCATCTGCATTCACAGGGAACCTTGTCATACATTGACAATTGGAGAACTGTCTACCAGGTATATCTTTTTGTGAAATATATGACCTCTGGAGCTGCACTCTTCTGGATTGAAGCAATGCTACCTCCAACCCTTGACCCCGACCCCGAGCTCCTTTCCACTTTTTCTAATGCCACAACCAACACTAGCAGAAAAAAAATAAAAGAAGATGCGTAATTAGTACGCAGAACACTCATAAAACCCATCAGGCTGAGAGACTGCATAAGTCGAAGCATCAAAGCAGAAATAATACACATGCTAAAAACCCTGAAATTACCAAACGAGTAGCTAGTGAGTCACTCACGTGCCCTCCAAACTAGAACACAAATAAATAAATGAACTCGAGTAGCTTTTTTCAGACAAATGGACTCACTTGGCAAGTCTAGAATGGATGGAAATAGAGGAAGAAATGATCCAGGTGATATCAGTCCTGGAAATATCTTCAGGAAGGACGTCTCCAACCTGAAAAAAGAAGCATGATTTTTTTTTTTCCTTGAGGTGTTTTTGGATAGATAAATTATGGAAATTTTTTAATAATATAGCAATAATTTTTCGGCATACTTCTCCCAGTTCCAGGCAATGAGCTTCAGCAACAACGGGAAAAACTGCAAATGAAATCGCTTGTATTAGATGAAGAAGATGGTATACGTGTTCTGGCTTCATTGCTGAAGCAGACACTGATTATGAAAGAAGAAAGCAAGAGGAAACCTATGGAGTGCCAAACAGCTAGATTGCATAAAGCAGCAGGCGAAGCAAGATATAGTTCTGTTACTTATGTTGACGCCTACTGGAACTACCAAGAAGTAAAGCTGTTTGCTAATGAAGAGAATTTAACCATATATATTACCCATCCGCATTGCATTCTATGTTTTTGAGTAATATCCTTGTGGCTAAGAGCTAAAGTCTAAGTTTTGAGATAACATGGCTAGTTATTCCAGTTTTTTACCTGAGGGAGTAAGTTTGGGAAAGATGCCAAGAGTTTTCTCTGGTTCGCAAGAAGGAATTCACAAGTTGCCTCTGCAACAGCAGTATCTGAGAACTCACTACAAGGAATATTATGACAAGATCATCAAATGAACTTAACAAATACTCAAGAATAGTAGCAAACATGCATGTGCAGAATGAAAAACCAAGCAAGTCCATACCGACTAAGACACGAGCGGAAGAATGTCCTCAAACTTGGGTCAGCATCGTGCAGAACAACATCCCCAAAATCAAGAAAAAACTGAAGAATGGCCTAAACACACACAAAACAAATATCCTTTGAATGCACAGAACATTCATTTGGGTTTGTAATTGCTGAAACAAGGCTACACAAATGGGTTATTAAAGTTTCTGAGAGAGACAGAGAAACATACTAGCAAGAGAAGGCCTTTGGCAGTACCGGACTCAGACTGAGACAATGAAGCAACCGAACGCTGAAAGACCTTATTGATTTGCGGATAAATTCTAGCCACCAGATCATCTGATGATTTCTCCAATTTACAAAACCCATGTAGCTTCTTCACCTAATCCATACACATTCAAACAAAAACCCAATCAATCAAACTTTTCTTCATCGAGAAATACATAAATTCTCGAGCTCTAACAAGATGCTTACTGATTGTAGTATAGATGGATCAGAAGCAGGATCCGTAGAATCTCGCGCGCTATTGCTTAGGATTCTGAGATAAAAATTCCAGTCTCCCTCTTGATCACTCATGTTTTCAATTCAAATGATCAGCTGATAAACAAATGATGGACGAAGAAGATGAAAGCTTCGGCGACTCCGACTCCCGGAGAATGGTGTGATTGGATCGAAAACGACAGCGTTTTGTATCTTTAAAACTGCATGCCATCCTAGTTGTCCCATTCTTCGCACTACGTGTCGGTTATAGTAGCAGAAAACCACACGCAGTTTATTGAGCCAAACTGGAGTGGATTGCAGCGAGACGTCATCGTGTTGGTTCACGGATTCTTTTACCTTAGAGACTGCATGTCATTTGTAGTGACAGAAGACGGCACGCAGTTTGCTTAGGAAACCTCGTTTTTTCGTCGTGTTATATCTCTGGTGGCTCTCCCACTCTTCCTCTTCCCTCCAAAACAAACCTCGAAGGAGGGAGAATTGGAGCGATAAATATGGCGTCGGCGTCTTCTTCGGACGGAGTTGCCGGAAGGATTCGGAACGCGTCGCTGGTTCTTGTCTCCGATAACAATTCCACGATTGCTGTGAGTATTTTTCGTTTCTTATGTCCCGCACAATGCTCTTGATTTGGAATATTGATTTCTGAGAAATTGAGAGATAGGAGTTTCGCTTGATGATGATGGGTTTTACTAGTCAGAAGTGAAGCAAGGGAATGATTTCTCATTAGTCAAAGTTTATCCTAAAATTATGCTTTTTTCTCTTTTGCTTTCCTTGTTGCAGTTTTGGTTTGAAGAAGAAAACAAAGTTGAATGCTCTCTGTTGTTTTCCTACTATATATTCATAGCAGACTGGTTTTGCTTACTCTTTTTATTGCAGGACATTCGCAAAGCTGTGACTATGATGAAGAACATTGCTGTTGAGTTGGAGAGAGATAATCAAACTGAGAAGGTGGGTTATTATTCTGGATTAAGCGTTTTTCGTTTGTCTGATTAACCATGTAAGTGTTCTGAATCGAGGAGGGTTCTGAGTCGTAACGCAGTTGTAGTAGCTGGTTAACTTCTTTGCTTTAAGAACTTCAATTGATGGCAGTTTCATCTCCTTAAGTTTTCGTACTGACTTCTCTATAACTGGTGGGAACTGCTTGGACTTTCATCTTTTGATTTTGGTTGGTTCTTGGCTCACTGAAATTCTGTACCAGTTGTTATCACATCTCGCTTTCTTTCTGACATTGTGTTGCCAGCTCGTGGCAAACTCTTTCCTTGATGTTCTGTCTTTGTTTTTGTTAATTGGTCTTTATACCTGCAGTTCATATCCATGTTTTGGGTTTTACAGGTTAAAGACCTTGAAAATTCTGTGGCTGAGCTGTTGGGTTTGTATGGTGATTGTGCTCATCGTTCGTCAGCAATTCAAGCTGTTGCAAATGGGTATCAGCCTGGGGAACAAGTATTCACATTTTTCCTTCATTTGTTAATCTAAATGCTTATCGGTTGCTTACTTTTAGTTTTAGTAGACTGCTTTCTGACTCACTCTAATGACCGCAGTTAACTGACTTTCAAAAGTTGCTTGACGATGAGTTCACAAAGCTCAAGACTACTTCTCCTTCTGTGCCACAAAATGATCATTTGCTGCGCCAGTTCAGGGAAGCAGTTTGGGTATGCCATTTGCGACTTTCTATATCATAGATCTATTAGGTCCTTAGTTTTCTCAGAATAATATCATTGTTCACTTAGCTTGAATCGGATAGGTCTATTGTCCACTTTCTTTTAAGTCAATATTTTGCTGCAGAACGTTCATCATGCAGGTGAACCAATGCCTGGTGACGATGAAGAGGACATTGTCATGACCAGCACTCAGTGCCCTCTCCTAAACGTGACATGTCCCTTGAGCGGGAAACCTCTCACTGAACTAGCAGATCCAGTTCGCAGGTAAAATGGATGTCTTGATTTTTTGTTTGTTTTTTGTTATTACTCTGATGTCTTGTTTTGTTCGAAATGATTTGCTTGTCCTCTCCCATACTTGATCCTTAAAGCTGAGTTCTAAACGTGATCATAAAGCGTGTGTATCATTTTGTTTTTTTGTGTGTAGAACTAAACACGTTTTGTGCTTTGATAATTACATGAATGATATCAGTTTTGAGAATTTCTTGTTTGTTCACCAATTCAGACACTTTTTTTTTGTTTGGTGAACTATCAACACTGAGTCTTTGTAATCCTTCTCTGGTTGCAGTATGGTTTGCAAGCACGTCTACGACAAAGCAGCAATCATGCATTACATAGGCAACAATCCCAATGCGAAATGTCCTATAGCAGGTAAAATTTGTTCTTTGCTGAAACGTCTTATATAGACACCTCTCCCTTGTTCTTCCATGCTGATTTGTGATTCCTATGGCACACTTCAAATCCTCAGGCTGCGTAGGGAAACTGCAGAATAACAAAGTGGTTTGTGATCCAATGTTGAAGTTTGAAATCGAGGAGATGCGCTCGATGAACAAACAAACTAATAGGGCCGAAGTGATTGAAGACTTCACAGAAGCAGTCGATGAAGATTAGATCAAACATCTCTTAGACCGGTTTTTAGGCGATTATGTGCTTATTCAAGTTCACAACTTTTGCGTCTTCTTAGTCCATTCGGTATATTTATCAAACGTGAAGTCTGTTGCAACATGTTTCCACTTTTGGATGTAAATAGGCAGTCTTGATTCAACAACTAATAAGTTGGATCTTATTTCATTTCATGAATGGTTGCTTAGGGTTTTCAGTTTTTTTCGATTTATGAAATGACATATAGAGAAATTCAATGAAACTCTTTTAGATTTTGGTCTTCAAAAAATGTATTTTTAATCAGAAAGGTTTTAAAGGAAAATTTCAATTAAAACAAAATAAAATAAAATTGGATTTGGGAAAGTTTATAATAACAAACAAGCTTTAACTTCTCTCGCTGAAACCGTTTACCCTCTCATTACCCGCCAATCAGCATCTCCCTGAATCTGTCGACGAGAATGGCTTCTTCTGCTTTCTCTGCATTTAGAGTTTCGTTGTCCAGAATTAGTCCTTTCCGTGTAAGCCACTTCTCTTATCCCGTCACGTCCGCTTTTGCCAAGACCAACCAAATCCTCTGCAACTCTTCGCACTCTGTA